AGGATGAAATAAAGATAAATTGACAGACAGACAGACAGACAGACAGACAGGCAGGCAGACAGACAGACAGACAGACAGACAGACAGACAGACAGACAGACAGACAGACAGACTTACAATAACCCGGGAATGTTAAGTTAAGAAAACACTTATAAGACACTTTGAAGTTAACCTTAACATCGTGGACACACTAGATAACGATAAGAGTTCCACAATCCACTTCACATTATGACCGTCTACCCTTAACAGTGACCATGAAGGTAATTATTTCCCCCTTTTCTATGACTGATGAACAATATGACGTCACTATGCACCGTTTTTCCTACAAAGTGGAAGGGGATTTTTTTTTTTAAGAGGGGTCCTGTTAACACGTCATCCTCTTCCTTCTTCTCTTCCTCCTCCTATTCTTACCCTTTCCTTTTCCTTCTATCCCTTTTCCTGCCTTCCTTACCCTCCCCCATATTCTCCATCCTCCTTTCCCCCCCCCTCCCTTTCCCCTCCCCCCCGGCACCCTACTACAGGCTCTTCATTAATGGAGTCTTCATCCGGGGCTCAAGGGTTATTTTCAAGGACCGAAGATGACCGATACTGTGTGTGTTGGCTGAGGGTTGGTTGGTGGTGGTGATAGTGATGGTTGTTGATAGTTAATGATGATGGTAAAGTGATGGTTAATGGTGATAATTGATGGTAATTCAAACATTTAATAAATAAATCTCTCCCCTCGTCCCTATGGCTGGTAATTATTATTATTATCATCATTATTATCAGGTATTACCACTCATTCTTTATTTTTTTTAATTTTACGTTTCGTCTTCTCCATTCTTCTTTCCTTCTTCCTTCCTTCCATGCTTGTTTTTCTTTTCTTTCTATCCCCCACAAACATCAGTCTCTCTACCAATTCCTTCATTCCTTGGGGGTGATCGTCTTTTAAACCCGGCCCATGTACTACCAACCTCCAATACACCAATATGCGAGTTTTTTTTCATTTCCCATTTATTTTCGTTCAGGTTTATCGGCGTGTTGCTGCAACGAAATTTTAACGCACCAGAGGAGAGAAAAAATATGTAGTGATTTAGTATTTATTTTCGGTTGAGGTCAAGAGGTCAAAGGTCAAAGATAGTTATATAATTAAGAATGTTTGTTTGTTATTGTATTATATATTAGTGGAATTTGATACGTATGGTAGATTTTTGTATGGACAATATCACTAATAGATTATGAGTTGACGTTAGTAAAGGTCAAAGGTCAGTAGATAATGGGGGCTCACCATAGTCGATGTTCTTAAGTTCACCACCATCACATCCCCACCATACACCATCTATAACCACCATACATCACCACACTTCAAGAGATCAGGGTGACGAGGGGGAGGCAGAACTCACAGTGCAAACACACACACACACACTAAGAGGCGCCATGTCTCAATAGTTATTTATTGGTTGGTGTGACGCGTTGAGCTCCACCCATATAATGACATCATATCTGACTCCTTCTGTCCATTTCCTCTAATTATAACTGACTATCTTCCTCTGGGGCGTTGGCTGGAAGGGGTGTTGGTTGGAGGGGCGTTGGTTGGAGGGGCGTTGGTTGGAGGGGGTTGGTTGGAAGGGGCGTTTGTTGGAGGGCGTTGGTTGGAGGGCGTTGGTTGGAGGCGTTGGCTGGAAGGGGCGTTGGTTGGAGGGGGGCGGTGGAGGGTTGGAGGGCGTTGGTTGGAGGGCGTTGGTTGGAGGGCGTTGGTTGGAGGCGTTGGTTGGAAGGCGTTGGTTGGAGGGCGTTGGTTGGAGGGGCGTTGGTTGGGGCGTTGGTTGGAGGGTTGGGGGGCGTTGGTTGGAGGGCGTTGGTTGGAGGGGGGCGTTGGTTGGAGGGGGCGTTGGTTGGAGGAGGCGGAAGGGACTCAGGACTCTTGTTTATTAATAGAACAATCTGACTCTCAATTGAATTCCTACGTTGCTGTTCCTCCTGCTGTCTGCTACACTTCAATACATGTTCCCAGAAGTCAACAAGGCTTATTGACATAACTCTGAATTCAGCCTTAAATCTCTCCTTCTCCTCTCTCTCTCTCTCTCCTTCCTCATTCTCTCTTCACGTCTCCACTAATTCTCGGGGTCTTGTGACATGCAGGACAATACCAATTACATTCCTTAATATCAGCGACCTTAGTTTTATCATTGTAGTGGTCCTGTCGTATCGTATCGTGTCGTGTCGTGTCGTGTCGTGTCGTGTCGTATCGTGTCGTGTCGTGTCGTTCGTGTCGTGTCGTGTCGTGTCTGTGTGTCGTGTCGTGTGTGTCGTGTCGTGTCTCTGTCGTGTCGTGTCGTGTGTCGTGTCGTGTCGTTTGTGTGTGTTTTCCGTTACAGTTCACAGTGTTCACCCTCACACTAAAGTTCCTCGGTGTTCAGTGTTCAGCCTTCATATTGTTAGGTCCATAGGGGTGAAAGACACACACACACACGCATCCCCCACAGTCATGGTCAAGACTGGTCGTAACTGCATCACTATACTTGATCTGTAGTTGTGCTTGTATTCTCCCCCCCTCCTCCCTCTCTCTTCCCTCATGCCTCTACTTCCTCCCTCCTCCTCCACTCCTCACCTCTCACCTCCACAGTCTCTGCTACACAAACAAGGCCTCTCCATCGTCCCTTCTCCCACTTCCTCCATTTCTGTATCTACATTTTCTATTCTATTTCCTTCGTTTTTTTTTACCTATATTCTTCCTCTTCCTCCTATATCCCTGGTAGTACTCCTCTCTCTCTCTCTCTCTCTCTCTCTCTCTCTCTCTCTCTCTCTCTCTCTCGGCTCATCAAGAATGAATTTTTCTGAATCTAAATTATTCATCTGTGTAATGGGTCAGATGGGGTGAGTGCGTGAGTGACTGGGTGAGTGACTGGGTAAGTGGGTGAGTGACTGGGTAAGTGGGTGAGTGACTGGATGAGTAAGTGGGTGGTGATTGGATGGAGTAAGTGGGTGAGTGACTGGATGAGTAAGTGAGTGAGTGATTGGATGAGTAGTGGGTGAGTGACTGGATGAGTGAGTGGGTGAGTGACTGGATGAGTAAGTGGGTGAGTGACTGGATGAGTAAGTGGGTGAGTGATTGGATGAGTAAGTGGGTGAGTGACTGGGTGAGTAAGTGTGGGGTGACTGGGTGAATGACTGTGTGAGCGACTGGATGAATGACTGTGTGAGCGACTGGATGGATAACTGTGAGTGACTGTTGAAGGAATATCTCTTAACTGGATGACTAACAATGGAGGAAAAAATAATAATAACAATAAATAAAATATAAACATTTACTCCAGTGAGATTCTGCTTTAATTAGAAGACTGAATTATCGTAAGAAACCTCTCTATCTCTCCTCTCTCTCTCTCTCCTATTTATCTTCTCTCTCTATTCTTCCTTCCCTGTCTTTATTTCCCTCTCCCTCCCTCTCTTCCCTCTCCCTCTCTCCCGCACTGCCAGCTAATATCACCAGGAAGCCCTGTTGGGGCACAGTGAGGGTGAGGAGGAGGAGGAGTGGGGTGGGGAGAGGACAAGGTGTGGGGGGTGGGAGAGGGACAAGGTGAGGGTGGGGAGGAGGAGAGGGAAGGAGGAGGGGGTGGGGAGAGGGACAAGGAGTGGGGGGTGGGGGAGAGGGACAGGAGTGAGGGGGTGTGGGGAGGAGAGAGGACAAGGGTGGGGTGTGGGGGAGGGAGAAGGAGGACAAGGAGGAGAAGCAGGAGGAGGGAGGTAGGAAACAAGTACTCTATATAAGTCCATCAGCCTTTCCCCACCCCTCCCTCCTCCTCATCTCTCTTCCCTCCTTCCCCTCCCTCTCTTCTACCCCCCTCCCTTCTTCCCCTCCCTCTCTCCTCTCTTCCTCCCCTCCTCTCCTCCTCCCTTACCCTTAACGACACCTACATTGCTCACTAGCCTCCCCCACCTGTGATAATCACAAGCCCAGGAACAAGTGACCTACAATATGGTTCTTTACAGTGAATTATTCCTTCTGGTGCTTATAAGTGTAACCTTCCTTATTTAATTACTTATTCCTGTGGTTACTTACATCCACTTTTTACTTTATTACTTAGAATATGACTTAAGGTTCAGACTTACTTAAATCAATTTTATTTCTCATCCTAAATTACTTAAAATTTTATTCATTTCAGTACTTATTGGCGTGAAAAAAAAATTAATTACCCACACTTACTTATTTACTTATAACTACTTTAATGTCCACAATTATTCACTTAAAAACAGGTTAAATTTCCACACTTTAATTCATGTAAACTTTAAATAAATAAATAAATCACTCATATACCATTTAAAGTTCCATAATAAATCACATATTTTTTTACCCACAAAATTAAATCACGCAACATTTTTAACCCACTTACAAATTTATCAAAACTTTCAAATCCAAAAAGTGTTTATAATCCGACACTCAATTACTTACAAAGGGTTTTAATCACATTAGGATTAACAAATCCTTCAGCAATTAATCCCATAAGTACTTTTCAATTTTATTTGTTAAATCCTGACGTTAATCCTAAATTAATTACTTAAATCAATTATTATACAAATGTATTACTTTACTCTTTAGCCATTGTTTACATAGTGTGTGTTAAAGAGAGTCTATGGCAACTAAAGGGGTACAGACTATGGCATTTAAGGGTACAGACTATGGCATTTAAAGGACAGACTATTATGGCATTTAAGGAGTACAGACTATGGCATTTAAGGGGTACAGACTATGGCATTTAAAGGGAACAGACTATGGCATTTAAAGGGTACAGACTATAGCATTTAAAGGGGAACAGGCTATGGCATTTTAAAGGAACAGACTATGGCATTTAAGGGAGTAGAGTCTATGGCATTTAAAGGGGAACAGACTATGGCATTTAAGGGGGTACAGACTATAGCATTTAAAGGGGAACAGACCCAGACATCAAGGAGTAAAGACCCAGATACTAAGGGGTACATATTGGGGTGGAGGGGTGGAGAGTAAAGGGATGGTGGTGGACGTACCTTTGTCAGCATGGTGGTGGGAGGCTGGGTGTTGGTCCTTGTCGACATCTTTCTCTCCTGTAAACAACAAAAAGAAGATGGTGTTAGGGAATACGCTGGTGGTGGTGATGATGGAGAGGTGGTGATGGTGGGGGGTGATGATGGTGGAGAGGGGGTGGTGATGATGGTGAGGTGGTGGTGATGATGGTGAGGTGGTGGTGATGGTGGAGAGGGGTGGTGATGGTGGAGAGGGGGTGGAGAGGGGTGGTGATGGTGGAGAGGTGGAGAGGGGGTGGTGATGATGGAGATGTGGTGGTGATGGTGGAGGTGGTGGTGATGGTGGAGGGTGATGGTGAGGGGTGGTGATGGTGGAGGTGGTGATGGTGGGGTGTGGTGGAGGTGGGTGATGGTGGGGTGGTGGTGATGGTGGGGGTGGTGGTGGTGGTGGAGGGTGGTGGTGGAGGGGTGGTGGGTGGGTGGGGTGGTGGTGGGGTGGTGGTGGGGAGGTGTGGTTGGGTGGAGGGTGGTGGTTGAGATTGGTGGTGATGGTGGGGTGGTGGTTGGAGGTGGGTGGAGGAGGGGGTGGTGATGGTGGAGGTGGTGGTGATGGAGGGTGGTGGTGATGGGGGGTGGTGGTGATGGGGAGGTGGTGATGGTGGAGAGGGTGGTGATGAGGTGGAGGTGGTGGTGATGGTGGTGAGGTGGTGGTGATGGGGAGAGGTGGTGATGGTGGAGAGGGGGTGGTGATGGTGGAGAGGGGGTGGTGATGGTGGAGAAGTGGTGATGGTGGAGAGGGGTGGTGATGATGGAGAGGTGATGATGGTGGGGTGGTGGTGATGGTGGAGAGGGTGGTGGTGGAGAGGTGGTGATGGTGGAGGTGGTGGTGATGGTGGTGGGGTGGTGGTGATGGGGGAGGTGGTGGTGATGGGGTGGTGGTGATGGGGAGGTGGTGATGGTGGAGGGGTGGTAGTGGTGGAGGAGGTGGTGGTGGTGGAGGTGGTGATGGAGGAGAGGGGGTGGTGAAGGTGGAGAGGGTGGTGATGGTGGAAGGGGTGGTGATGGAGGAGAGGGTGTGGTGATGGTGGAAGGTGGTGGTGATGTTGGAGAGGTGGTGGTGGTGGTGGTGGAGAGGGGTGGTGATGGTGGAGGTGGTGGTGATGTGGTGGTGAGGGTGGTGGTGGTGGAGAGGGGGTGGTGATGGTGGAGACGGGGGGATGGTGGAGGGGTGGTGTGGTGGTGGAGAGGGGGTGGTGATGGTGGAGAGGGGTGGTGATGGTGGAGAGTGGTGGTGGTGGAGGTGGTGATGGTGGAGGTGGTGGTGATGGTGGGTGAGGTGTGGTGGAGACAGGTGGTGAAGGTGGAGGGTGGTGATGGTGGAGAGGTGGTGATGGAGGAGAGGTGGTGATGGTGGAGAGGTGGTGGTGATGTTGGGAGGTGGTGGTGGTGGTGGTGGAGGGGTGGTGATGGTGGAGGTGGTGTGGTGGTGGTGAGGGGGTGGTGGTGGTGGAGAGGTGGTGATGGTGGGACGGGGGGATGGTGGAGAGGGGGTGGTGGTGGTGGAGAGGGGTGGTGATGGTGGAGAGGGGGTGGTGATGGTGGAGAGGTGGTGGTGGTGGAGAGGTGGTGATGGTGGAGGTGGTGGTGATGGTGGTGAGGTGTGGTGATGGAGGAGACAGGGGTGGTGATGGTGGAGAGGGTGTGGTGATGGTGGAGAGGGGGTGGTGGAGAGGGGGTGGTGATGGTGGAGAGGTGATGGTGATGATGGAGAGGTGGTAGTGGTGGTGGAGAGGTGTGATGGTGGAGAGGTGGTGGGGATGGTGGGAGAGGGGTGGGGAGAGGGGTGATGGAGGAGAGGGGTGGTGATGGTGGAGGTGGTGGTGGGGGTGATGATGTGGAGAGGTGGTGGGAGGGAGAGGGGTGGGTGGTGGTGGAGAGGGGTGGTGAAGGTGGAGGGGGGTGGTGCTAGGAGAGGGGTGGGTGGTGGGAGAGGGGGTGAAGGTGGGAGAGGGGGTGGTGATGGTGGAGAGGTGGTGGTGATGATGGGAGAGGGGTGGTGATGGAGGAGAGGGGGTGGTGGAGGAGAGGTGGGGTGGTGATGGAGAGGGGTGGTGGGATGATGGAGAGAGGTGGTGGATGGGGGAGAGGTGGTGGTGGGGGAGAGGTGGTGATGGTGGAGGTGGTGGTGATGATGGTGAGGTGGTGGTGATGATGGAGAGGTGGTGATGGTGGGAGAGGGGTGGTGATGGTGGAGAGGTGGTGGTGATGATGGTGAGGGTGGTGGATGATGGAGAGGTGGTGGTGGAGGAGAGGGGGGTGGTGGCAGAGGTGGCGGTGATGATGGGTGGTGGTGGTGATGGGGGAGAGGTGGGTGGTGAGAGGGTGGTGGAGGGGGTGGTGATGGGGGAGGAGGTTGGTGATGGGGGAGAGGGTGGATGGTGGAGAGGTGGTGATGAGTGTGAGGTTGATGGGGGAGAGGTGATGGTGGAGAGGGGGTGATGGTGAGGGTGGTGGTGATGGTGGGAGGAGGGGTGGTGGTGGGAGGGGGTGGGGATGGTGAGAGGGTGGTGATGGGGAGAGGTGGTGGTGATGGGGGAGACGGGGTGGTGATGGTGTGAGGTGGTGGTGATGATGGTGAGGTGTCATGATGGGGGAGGAGGTGATGGTGGAGAGGGGCAGATGGTGGGAGAGGTGGTGGTGGATGGTGGGAGACGGGTGGTGGTGGAGGAGGTGATGGTGGAGGTGGTGGTGGTGGAGGGGGGGTGGATGGTGGAGAGGTGGTGGTAATGATGGTGAGGTGGTGGTGATGGTGGTGGAGGGGGTGGTGATGGAGGAGAGGGGGTGGTGATGGTGGAGAGGTGTTGGGGATGATGGAGAGGTGGTGGTGGTGGTGGAGAGGGGGTGGTGATGGTGGAGGAGGGTGGTGGTGGTGAGGGGTGGTGGTGGGAGAGGGGTGGTGGTGGTGAGAGGGGGGTGGTGATGGTGGAGAGGGGGTGGGATGGTGAGAGCGGGTGGTGGTGGTGGGAGAGGGGTGGATGGTGGAGAGGGGGTGGTGGATGGTGGGAGAGGGGGGTGGTGGTGGAGGAGGGGTGGATGGTGGAGAGGTGGTGGGGATGATGGAGAGGTGGAGGTGGTGGTGGAGGAGGGGTGGTGATGGTGGAGAGGTGGGGTGATGGTGGTGAGGGTGTGGGTGATGGAGAGACGGGGTGGTGATGGTGAGAGGGGTGATGGTGGGGAAAGGGGGGTGGAGAGAGGGTGGTGATGGTGGAGAGGTGGTGGTGATGGATGGAGAGGTGGTGGGGGTGGTGGTGGAGAGGATGGTGGAGAGGTGGTGGAGATGGTGGTGAGGGGTGGTGATGATGGTGAGGTGGTGGTGGGTGATGGGGAGAGGTGGTGGTGGTGGTGGTGGTGGTGGAGAGGGGTTGGTGATGGTGGAGAGGGGTGGGATGGTGAGAGGGGGTGGTGATGGGAGGGGTGGATGGAGGAGAGGGTGGTGATGGTGGAGAGGGGGTGGTGATGGTGGGAGAGGTGGTGATGGTGAGAGGGGTGGTGAGGGGTGGTGATGGTGGAGAGGGGTGGTGATGGTGGGAGAGGGGGTGGTGATGGAGGAGAGGGGTGGTGATGGTGGAGAGGGGGTGGTGATGGTGGAGAGGGGGGTGGTGATGGAGGAGAGGGGTGGTGATGGTGGAGAGGGGTGGTGACAGTGAGAGGGGTGGTGATGGGGAGAGGTGTGGTGATGGAGGAGAGGGGGTGGTGATGGTGGAGAGGTGATGGTGGAGAGGGGTGGTGATGGTGGAGAGGGGTGTGGATGGTGGAGAGGTGGTGGTGGACAAGGGGTGGTGGTGATGGTAGGGGGTGATGGTGGGGGAGGTGGGGGAGGTGGGGAGGAGGACTGAGGGATGAGTGGGGGTGAGGGGACAGTGAGGAGGTGTGAGGGGGGAGAGAGGGTGAGAGTCTGTGTGTATGATATCTCAGTGAGGCAAAACGAGGATGGACAGAACTTAACCAAAACACACACACACACACACACACACACACACACACACACACACACACACACACACACACACACAAAGGATGACAGAAAATAAAGAAACTAATCTGTCAGTGTATAAATAACTTCATTAATTCACTTATATATAGAAACACAAACCCTCATTACGGTAAACAAACACCATCTGTGTACACCACTAACGCACAGCCACCGCTCTAACGTCTGTGTACACCATTAACGCACACAGCCACCGCCCTAACGTCTGTGTACACCACTAACGTACACAGCCATCGTTTCCCAACGTCTGTGTACACTCACTAACGTACACAGCCACGTTTCAACGTCTGTGTACACCACCAACGTACACAGCCACCGTTCCTAACGTCTGTGTACACCACTAACGTACACAGCCACTGCTCTCAACGTCTGTGGACACTACTAACGTACACAGCCATCGCCTCAACGTCTGTGTATTACACTACCGCACACAGCCACTGCCTCTACCGTCTGTGCACACCACTAACGTACACAAGCCACCGCCTCTAACGTCTGTGTACACCACTAACGCACACAGTACCGCCTCTAACGTATGTGCACACCACTAACGTACACAGCCACCGCCCTCAACATCTGTGTACACCACTAACGTACACAGCCACCGCCCTAACGTCTGTATACCACTAACGTACACAGCCACCGTCCTCAACGTCTGTGTACACCACTAACGTACACAGCCACCGCTTCTAACGCCTGCATACACCACTAACGTACACAGCCACCGCTTCAACGCCTGTATACACCACTAACGTACACAGCCACCGCCTCTAACGCCTGTATACACCACTAACGCACACAGCCACCGCTTCTAACGCCTGTATACACCACTAAACACACAGCCACCGCTTCTAACGCCTGTATACACCACTAACGTACACAGCCACCGCCTCTAACGCCCGTGTACTGTACACTGCTAACGAACCCTATGTGGAGGTAAAGGCAATCTTTACCCTATTAATGTTACCTTATTTTTCTGATGGTTCACGTTATCTCTAATGGTTATGGCCGCCATTATCCGTAAAACGCCAAA